GAGGAGCGTATAGGCCCAGGGCGGAGACGCAGCAGGCAAAAGTTCCCGCGTTTAGCAGTAGTGGGTTCGCGCCCGTGAATAGGCACTTGCGATCAGCCCAGTCGTCCGGTCCGGACCCGTACTTTTGGGCCCGAGAATGCATTGACTTTACTTTTTTTCATACCATTCCCTTCCCGAGAGACCACTCTAGCCGTCAAACACTCGCATCACTGCATATCTGCTGCCAAACCATACTTTAACTGACTTTCAAAAGCACTCATTCATTCATACCATGCATTCAAATACTGCAGCGTTTGTGCCATACGTTCAATACATTTGTAGTTTATTATACTGTACTATACGGCACAGTATATTCACTCACTTTTACATTGAAATTCTTTGACTTTTTAATTATACGATTGCATTGAATTACATTTTATAATTTATAGGATTTTACATTAATTTGTATAATAATTATTGTTACACTATCAATAATTACAGTTAATTACTATATTAAATGGTTAAATAACTTTCTAATTACCGGTATAATAAAACTTATATTCTTGTACACTTTTAGACTATTCTTGTATGACATTCTGTACTATAACACAATTTAATGTTAACAAAATACAGTATACCTGGGTTAATTTGATATATTTGTACTGTTGATTTTAATGACAATTATTCTAGCACAAAATAAGCACATTTGAATTTATATTTACAGCGATTATGATAATCTAAAAACTATTCATATATGGCATACCATTTATTCAAATCTATTATAATTGTCTTTAATTATACTTAATGTGTAAATCAGTTCCGATGCGATCCAAGCAATCGATGATATAGTGAATGGTTTGCAGGGAATGGGAGGCAGACATACAGATGCGAGCCTTTGCTCCCAATAGAGTAGTGACCGGAAAGGAGACGCCAACCACTCCTATCCCGCACTCAAACAGTCGGCGCATAAGACATCTGAAGGAAAAGTGTTTCAAATAAGTGGAAAACAGATGTAGAGGACAGGTATGACTAACTTAAGGGGTGACTCGAGGTATACGAGCAGAATGATGACCGGGGAGTCTGTGTGTCCGTCCACATGGAAACCCAAATCTTTGAGTTTTTGTCTGAAATAAGTGGTGTTTCTGTGAAGTCGTTGTACTCTTTGGGAAGCATTGCTTTGACTGTCATTTGTTTGCATCAATTCATTGATTACTGAATATATTTGTCTCATAACCGGCGGAGACATAGGATTTGCGTAATAAAAGTCGGCACTCTTTTGGCGCAAGTAATCGATGAGACGTTTATTGCCTTGGACCATTTGAATTTATTATTAATTGTGCTGGATTAATATAAATAAGGTGTACCTCCGATATAGCCACCGGAAGCGCCAAACGATTTGGTGAACGTTCCCATCAATATGTCCACGTCTTTTGGATCTAACCCATAGTAATCACAAACTCCTTAATCATAGATAAATTAAGGCTAATGTTAAGAGTTGTGCTGAGTATTGATGTCCACAAACCTTTGGCCCGGGATCCCAAAGCACCGATACTATGCGCTTCGTCTAAATATAAGTAAGTTTTGTATTTCTTCTTGATTTGTAAGATTCGCGGCAACGATACGATCGTTCCCTCCATACTATAGATGCCTTCGACAATAATCATGATTTTACGCCACTCTCGCCGTGTCTTAGGCTGTCCTTCAATTATACTGTTCCTCACAATCCTCTCCAAGTCATCCATATCTTTGTATAAAACTTTTAATCATACTATAATAGTATTGAATATTGTTTACCGTTGTGTTTGAATACAATACTGTCTTCAACTCCTAAATACTTAGCCACTAAACACTCCAATTCGCTGTACATTTGCTGTCGGCCTGTCCTCACATAAGATTAACATTTAAATGACAATAAACTCAAGTTTTCATTCATACCAATTTCATTGGCTGTACTACCGATGCCAACCCCTAATTGTTTAATCATTTGTTCAACTCAATCAGTTATGGGCCCCTCATTGGTAGCATATCCCAAGTAGTTATAAGAACCTAAGTTTATCACATCTAATCCATTTCCAGTAAACCTATTGAAATAATTGCCACATTTTGTTAGGAATATTCTGCAACCAATTATTAATTCAATGAATATAAATGAATGCATTTAATACTGTACAAACGAGTGTATGACTCTCTGTCCACTTCTTTGCGATGAAACTTTGTATTTTTGAATATATATCTAAGAAGTCATTTATTATACCAAACATTATTAGTATAACACGACTTAAATAATTACAGAAAATCATGTTCAAGGGTATAGTGGGACGCCTACCCATCATTTCTAAATTAGACTTAAAAATTAAATAAATATTTGTCGATAATTGATGTGATTAATTTTTTAAATTAATTATTTTTATAATCTATCATATTAATTACAACACGTTTCTACTATCAGTTGTATAAATATGATACATTTATTGTTTTTTATTTCTGAATAATTAAAGCAATTATTAATATTTATTATGTGTTCATTCTGAAAATACTGTACAGTATATCAATTCCTGGATAAATAATTGCAATAAATGTAAATAACAGTGTTTATTGTATAAACTCTTTATTTTTATAATATAAAGTTAAAATTTTTAATACAGTAAATAAAGTTTAATAATTAGAAACTAATTAATAGCTATTATGAATTAATTAAAAATATATCCAATAGAAATTTATTTATAACCTATTAATTGTAATGTTATTTATATCCTAATCAATTATTTTAATTCAAATTCTTATTCTGTAATATTGTGACAGTTATATGAGTTATGTGGTACAGTACAACTGAATATAGTATCAGTTATAATCACCATGCTCATATATTTGCGTATATTTTAGTAATTGATTCTCAAAATGAACTATTGATTGTATGAATATATTATCATTATACTAATATGATTACAATTGCGTTAAAAATGAGTAAAATACTTGGTATAACATTGTACTGTACTAGGTAAGTAATAGGTGTGTGTAATGTAGTGCATTGTATTCAATGTGATGTTTAGCGGCTTTTCAATCATATTTGGCGCCAACAGTGCTCTGAATGAATAGTGCTATGAGTGATGCATTGGTTGACAAATATAGCACTAAATGAATGGAAAGTGTGAACGCATTGATTGCATGGACTGGACTTCCATTGCAGTGAAAGTGAGATTCAGTGATACAATGCGTGAATGGAAAGCATAAACAAAATGCAATCAATAGTCACATCAATAGACACACAATCAGTGTCGAGCTGATCTCTTCAGTCATTGTCTCATTTGGTGTCCATTACTCTGAGCACACATTATGGCAAACAATACACTGAAGGAAGTGCTGTACGAGAACCTGTTGGCGATCCTGTCGACCGACAAAGCCGTGCGAACTAATGCCGAACAACAGTTCA